TAAGCACAATACCTGGTTCCGCTATTGCGACCCTATTATGTACTTGGACGAGCCATTTCTGTTCTTCGATTACTCGATATCTCCCACTTTGGCGTTCCTTTTTATCATCTTCGTCCTTGCGCTTCCACCTACATCCTCCCCCTCCTATCCCTTCTCCCGTATTTCGCGTTATTAAGGGTCATCCTAGGGGTGCTGTATTCAGCCGAGGCGGGATCGATTTTTGCCTCTCGCGAGTGCATGCGTGCACCTTCAACCTTCGGGATGAACTCGCAGGATAAGAATAACCTGCTCGAGGCCGAGTAGCGTTTCACGCTCGAACGAGTTCCTCGCACGCGTACCAAGCATCCCCGAAGAAACGACACGTTATGGAAGAATATTAACTCGTAGTAATGCGCGGCATCCACATCGTGTCCCCGTTGCCACTTTCATTTCCGAAAGAATCGACCGGCACCGCGTCGTAGCGTTCAATTTGGCCCGTGAACGTTCGCCGATCGATAGATCTCTGATTCTACGAACCTGAACGTTACGTAAATCGAAAGTGTAACCGCGGTGGCTGTATCATAGCTGGAACAAAAATTTACACCGAACCCCAAGCAGATACCGAATCCGCCGGATGACACTCAAATTCCATTTTCGCCACCTTCGACCGCCATACTACGCGTTCCAGTCTGATCGCAAGTACAGGACGCAATGATCGAACTGTCCGAACGAATCAGTGCGCCCTCCGATACGTGCTATTCGCTAGGCTTCTCTTTCTCTCACTCGTCGCTCTGTTATCCCTCTCTCTCTCTCGCTTTAATTTTCTCACACACAGAGACCCGAACGTGCCAACAGAAGGCGATGACAGCTGTCGTGACAGTCGCGCGACGTTTGCGGGTATTCCAGTAGGCATCTAATTATTGCTGGCCATGCAAGATGCGCGACTATACTTTTACTCCGGATCGCCGAACGGTTTAAACGATTAATAACGAAAGAAACGACATCGCGCGTTTACCTGAGAACGTTAAAAAGAGGTCATCCGACAACGTCGTTTGACGGTATACTCGTAAGCTCGATGGATCGTTGAACTTTATCGATGAACGTCGCATGACTGAAACTACCATTGCATAATTAATTACAAATGCGGTAGTCACGGTGCAGCTACACCGTTAATTAAGACATTCAACCGTTTAACTTGCGCAACGATAATTTCCTACCTTATCGTCATAGGTGTCAACGAATCATTTAACTATGCAGCTTGAATAATTACCGAATGTCGGGGAAACGGAAAATACCAACGCCATTTCGTACAATCGTTCCCCCATTGGGCAGGTTAATTATAAATCGAACAAAAAGTAGAATTCCGCTCGAGCAAACTCATCGCCCACGGTAGAAACGACGTTTTATCTCTTGGTCGTCGAGGCGTTTTCCAACACCATCGGAATATTATCGAGGATTTACTCTTGATGTACCTGTTAAAAAATTATACAGAATTCGTTTTTGAGTTCGACCTGTTGTTTCTACTATATTGTTCCACCGAATACACGATTCCGCTTCGAATAGCTGGGAAAAGATTTACCAGCGATGCCGCGCGGAAAAAGAGTTCGCCGGTGCAACTTAATTACATCGATAAAAGGAAGAAAACGCTGTCCGTAAGCTGGCTCTCCGATACTCGAAACGAAATCCCGTATTCTTCGCGGAGAAGCGACTCTCCTTGTTCGAGCGCGCGTCGACCCGTCCCATCGGACGCGTTCACCATCTACCGAAACTCACTCCCTGAGCATCCCTCTCCCGGCGCAGGGTGGCGTCGATGAAAGCCACTCCTGATCATTCGCGCGTACTATATTATTTTTACCTCCGCAACTAGAGCGGCGAAATACGCAGGCGTTATCAAACTCGGCTTTGTCTAACTTTAATTGAAAATATTGGAATAAATCTTCCAATAGACATTGTCGGGCGAAACTGCCGCGCCACCGTTCTGTGCGGGCATCGCTCGAAGAGATAGGGGTGAGAGTGGCTGCAAGAGCCAGAGGGAGGGACGAGGCGAACAGTTAGGGAAGGGAGGCGTGAGTAACTGGATGGCTACTGAGTGGAACAGGGACAGGAGCTTCAGCAAGCGGTCCAGAAGAGGTAAATAGCCATTTATGGTCGAGTTTATAGCGAAGGTTCGCTGCTCAAAAATAGGAACCGACTCGCAGCCAGCCAACCGTTTTGACAATTCGAATCAATCCCGTGACTATCCTCTCGCCCTCGATCCACTCTATTCATCCTCCTCTGCTGCCGCCGCCGCCGCCGTCGACGCCAGCTCCTCCTCCTCCTCTCGTCGCAGCCTCACCTTTATTTCCCCGAAACAGTTTATTCCGTGTCCGCTGGTACGGCAAATGGGCCTGAACCTGCTCCTCTTCTCCTCTCTTTGCACCTTGTACGAGAAAGAAACAGCTTATTATCGCGACGTCGCTTTTAACCGTCTCGAATTTCAATTAGCGATTTTTTTCAACGCTGTCGACACTCGGCTCGAGGACAGCTTTTAAGAAGAAAAACATCGATGCACACCGGGGGAAAATAAATCTGGAAAGGGTGGAAGAAAATTACTCGGCGAAACGTCTTGGCCCGAGGCCTACGAAAGGACCTCTTTCAGGCGTTCCGCGAGATTCGTTCCAAGTCCCGGTAATGACGATAACGAATCGTTGTGACGGCGGCAGGCAATCGGTCGTTGTCGCCGAATCGTCGACAACGCCGCCGCTTTGGAATTTGAAGCGTGACAAGCTACATAGGTAGGCACGAGCGTCGACGGTTATCGGAGTCGATCATTCAATTTTGCGTTGCAAATTGTCCGCGCCGGAAACTCATATCCGGGCACTTCCGGTTCTCCCTGGTTCCGCCCCCGGGAAGAGAAGTCTCGCGAAAGGGCAACCCGACTGAATGGCCCGATAAGAGAGAGCTCGGAACCCGGAGAGAGGAGAGACAAGCGACAGAGAATCGAGGCACGAAAAGGCCGCAGGTTGGATAGGCAGGGATTCTGGCTCGGATGAGCGACGGAGTTCGCTTCCGGTTGATTACTCGCCGGGCTGCCAGGACTGTCCTCGTCATTAGCGATCTCGTCGAGGATGAAATCTCACCTATGCACCGTCCCAGCATTCGTTTAGTCGCTACCGTAATCATCCATTGAATTTCCTACCGTCAAGACCGTTAAAAGGACAATATTAAATTCCGCAGAATATTTCAAAAATAAAAATCCATAACAATTTTTCTACCGTTATACATATATCATTTAGGCCCGAATGGAAAACTTGAACGATACGAGCCTCGTTTGAACGTCTCTCACGACCAAAAAAAGAAACCCCCCCTTATCAAAAAGAATAGTTTTTCTCTTTAATTACAATACGGGCCAGAACGTTCTACTGTAATTCGTACAAGTTCAATTTGTCGCTGGACACGTCTTTCCAGGTCCAGGATACGATGGACGGGAAACTCTCTCGACCGACGAGTGTAGTCGATTCGTTCGCTTTATTTTTTCAACTTTATGCATATAAAAAGTCCGCCGATGAACTACTTTCATCTCCCGGAGTCGCAGGTAAAATGTGGTTATTAATCCAGGACCGTATCTAATCTAGACATTATTATTCAGCGCCAGGTTGCCGTCAAACCGACGGATTCTAGCAGAATTATTCTCGTCGATCCGAACTCCGCTGGGAATTTAATTCGCACTTGTACCACTTTGCGTCTCGTTCGATCGTTCTCTCTTTGTTTTCGTAGATTACTCGCTGAGAGCGATCCGTGAAAAGGACGACGCGCGACTATAGAATCGTTTACGTCTAATCGGTGGCCGGTCGGCGGAAGAGATCGAAAGTGACAAGGACACCGGCGAGCCAACGCAAATCAGGATTTGTCGAATCGATCGACCAGCGTACTGGAACGATAATTAGGCCCTGGGTACTAACTATTATCGGCTGCGCCTACAATTAGTGCCTTTTAGCGAGCACGGTCTAAATTTTCCAACTGTTTCGACAAACGCATCCGCGTCGTTCCCCGCGGATGATAATACTGGCTTCATTAACGGCTTACACTCCACTTAACCGGCTCGTTCGTACGAATTACGCGTCAGAAAATCAGCCTATAAACTCGCCGGCCGCCACGAAAGTCTCGTAAAATTATGCAGAACGTTCGGTCACCATCATCAGAACGTATAGATACGCGTGCACCGACCTGAACGTCGATTACATGTCTTCTGATCAAGCAGCGAGCCGCGCGAACACTCGTTTCGTTTACACCACGATCCACGGAACTCGATAACGGTTAATGTTATAATCGACGGATACCGCGCGCTGCGCCGCGACGCGCAAATCATCGTCGGCTTTAGGGTTCGAAAATACTAAATATGTACGTCATTTCTTGCTTCGATTATTCCTAAAATCGCAAGAGAAATTGAATTCCGAGGTAATCAAGCAATACAAATGCAAATGTCCGAGGCCACCGAATCGCCGCGTTACCGTCGCTGGTATTTCGAAATATTCCGCATAAATAAACAATCGACAGCTACGAATTACATCCATTTAGAATATCGATCGGCGAACATGTTGTCGTTGAATCGTTCGCATTAATAATGCACAGTCTTAATGTACGTTTAACGGATGCATACATATGTATAGAGGCGTGTGTTTCTCATTCACGATGTTCGATTCCCACCGTTTTTCGCAATCTGTCGCTAATTTCGCGACGACATCTGTTTGTTTGTCGTTGACCTTCCAGATCGAAACGTACACTAGCTGCATCCTTTCGTCTTTTCCATCACAAGTACGCGAACCACCGCCCAAGTCGTCGATCCTCGCCGCCCCCTCGTCGACGATAAGCTATTTCCGAATCGCGAAAAAGTTCGTAAAGGAGACCCGTTGCAAATCTTGATCAGGTTCGACGACGACCTGCAAAAGCGTGATGCTCGAGAACGACCGCGGCCTGCAAAAGATACTTGTTGTTTGAGATTTCGCGGCCACATCGCACAACGCGTCGTCGACGGACGCATAAAAGCGCTCGCCTTCCACAAAGGCGTGCTGGAAGTGGCTTTTGTGCGATTCATGCCACGAGAACAGTTAGGCATTTACCGCGAGTAGCCCGCAGCGGAGCATTTCCTTCGACTGACGCGCCGATAGCGTCGCACGGTTCACCGGGATTCGTTTAACGCGATTCATAGGAAAGTTGCCGACGTTGGTGCGGTTACACGACAGCCAGTGTCGACCGTGTCGCCGGCACATAGTCGAGAATCGCCTTCAATGAAGTACGAATTCCAGATTTACGTCCCGAACAACCTGCAAACAATACAGCCGCCTCGAACGAGCCTTCCAACCTACGAGGGTGAGTCAATCATTTTATCCGCAAACCTATTTATACGCCAACTTTATACTTTGATCATTGTACCGCGGTCGAAGAAACATGGAAATCAAGTATTGGAAACAATCGGAGTGGAAACAAATTTCTCAGATTTATAAAACTGTTTTAGGTGCAATCACTGAGGATCGAGTTTTTAACTAATGGTAACTCCCTTTCAGAAACATATGGTCGTTTGTTTTCAAAGTAAACAGGGATAAATGAGTGGCTGATAGTCGACACTCGCTTAAGGAGATTCGCAACCCTCGTCGCCCATGAAAAAGGGGTTCCATATTTACGGTTCTAGCGAATCAAAGCTGCATCATAGCCAAGGGATAAAAAAATAAAGCTTAGCGATAAGTACATCGTGGATAATCGCTGACTCTCCCTTGTATAAAAGAGAGAGAGAAGAGAACCATGGTTGGAAAAATTTGTTACCGTTGGACCTTGGATCGAAGTTGAGAGAATCGCTTTCTTCTAGACGCTTGAACCCCACGAGGCGCAGCGAAGAAAGAAGTTGGCCAGCCTACTAAAAATTCAAAACGCGAGCGAATTTCCCCGGGAATAAATTTCCAAGTTTTCTCCGCGAGAACAGCCGAGCAAATACAGCGCGGCGAGCTTACCCAACCCCGGAACAAACTAGGAAGTTTGACGCATTGCCGGTGAATAAACCGAAACGATTGGTACGCAACATTTGCCAGAAGAAAGGAGAAATAACTTTAACTTTTCAACGTACGTCGTGCTTTACGTACCTACATTCTGGTATTCCAAAATGATAGTAAAAAAAACGAAGACACCGTGTCTTGTATAGTATGTACATGTACATACATAGAAACGCGTTCTCTTTTTCAGCTCGTTCGCGTTCATCGAATTAGAACAGGGACAATGAATACTCAATCGAATATAACGACAAAGTAAGTAACGCTTAGAATGAAATTACACGAAACTTTACGACGATAATCTTGATCGTAACATTGTGACAGTTCGGAATTCAAAAATCGAGGCGCGATGCAAACGATAACCTTGTCTGAGGCTGATGGAAAAGACTACCCTGCATCGCCTCGAGGAAGAACCTCGCACCTCCGAAGACAAAGCATGTCCCTGACTGCCGTTATAAACCATAGAAGGGGTCTTCTCGGGTAATGTCAACTCGTTTTCTAATTTTCCTTCGTATTTTTCATTTGACACGCGCGAATCACCGCCCCGTTATTAATAGCGTATCGAGACTAAAATACGGTACCTTTCGCGCGTGGTGTAACGTAAAACGCAGCCGCACAGCCACGCGAATAGCGTATAATTTTACGATCATTGAATCCAGTTTTCGAACGAAATATTTTCGACGCGATGCATCAGCGATTCGTTTAAATTTATATCGTTCAGTGTATCGATGCGAAAGCGACGCCGAGCGCAGCCAAATGTCATCGACGTCCTGTAAACGAGCGACGGTCATCGAGCATATTTCACCAATATATTTTTAATCATATTTACATATATCAGGCTGGACTCGATACGCGTAAGAAACGAGAACTCATTCCCTTCCGCAGAGCGTTGATTTCAGGAATAGGCAGTAACATGTCCCTACCGTCCTGTATACCTCAGGATCAAGAGTTCTTGACGGGACAACCGCCGGGGTACAAGGCTCAAACGCCGCTTCTCAACAATCAAACTCACGCGGAGAAAAACGACGAGGCGCAAAAGCAACGGCCAAACTTCTTACCATTGGCGCCCGTCAATGCGGCTTGCGTGCCCATCAACGCTCTGGAAGCCGCGAAAAGTAAGCGCACGGTACCTACTAGAATTTCGATACCTTCGATGTTTCCAAATTAAAAGAGTGCATCCGAAACTTTCGTCAACAGCTGCTAAACAGCAGATCGTGGATCAACGGTGGAAACCCGCGGAGAAGGGAAAATGCCATCGGGAAATGATATCGATCGTAAGCACCCTTTACGCAAAATTGCTCATCGTCATTGGAATCACCGTACCGATCACAGCCAGCGTCACCGAACGAGTTCCGCCTTCTCTGAATCAGGTCAGTGGGGAAAATTTGTTCACGAATTTCCCTAGCTCTCTAATCTTTTACGGCTGATCGTGCTCCCCTTCGCTCGATACGAAGGATAAAATGATTTATTTCTGCAGGGATTTTACCTCTATCTGTATTTGGTCAGCGTCGCTTTCGTGATCGCGATGTACGTCATCATGTTGAGAGACAAAGCCGTAAAGAATCTGGCACGGAAGAACGAGAATAAAGAACAGACTTACGCGTTCAACGAGAAAGGTGACCGCGAGAACGTCGATCAGGTAACTTTTACATTTCGAAATTAATTACTTGTAGGATGTAGGGCGATCGCGATTTGATTACCTGCCCCGACGATTGGCATATCCTCCGCGTTGAATAATTTACAGAGAACATTTTCCATCTACCGTACCGATTCGTGGCTCGATGGACGATTTCTAATCAGCGTGGCGCGTTCGGCTACGCAACGCTTACTGTAAAAATCTTTGTTTCCCAGATGCAACAGTACGGTAGCTTTTGTCTGAGGCTCGGCGCAGTGGGATTTGGCGCTGGCTCGCTGGTATTTACGGGATTGCAAATTGGGGCGGAAATAGCTTCCGGTCCGTTCAGGGCGATTACACCGGGTGCCAGACTGCTGTTGGTCACGGCCCAGATGCACTTCATATTCCTGAACAGCAGAAGTCTCAGCATGTCGAAACACACAGCCCTCGCGAAGATAGGTCTGATGCATATGATCGCGACCAATCTCTGCGAATGGTTACAGGTACTCGTTTGCATTCGTCGGATTGCGATAAAAGAAGAAAGGTTGAGCTCCGCTGATGTTCATTACATTTCGATGACCTTTTAATTCCAGCATAGTATCGATTAACGGCACTTAACATTTATCAAAGTCGAACGAACCGTTTATTCCAATATTTGTGGAAATGTATCCCGCGCTAACGGTGAACAGAGACCCGGTTCCCGATTCCCAGGGAAATCGAAGTAGTCGTGTTCATCATCAGCAAAATTATTCCGACATCGAGCTTTTAATTCCGCGCGCAGAAACGCGACAGATATTAACAGTAATTTCGCAACCCGGCTGCTTTCGATACGCGATCGACTCCATCGTGAATTTTTTACACGCCCCTCAGCCATTCCGTTTGTTTCCCAAGGCACTCGTCGAAGAAACGCAACACGAAATCGATCAACTGGGCCATACGCACGACGACGAGGACGGGATCTTAAAATCCCTTCTAAGAGACGCGAGCCCGTTCCTTTTTCCATGCACAATTGAATTCAGTTTAATTTGCGCGGTGATACTGTTCGAGATGTGGAAGAGGGTGAACGAGAAGATCGATGCAAAGAACGAGAGTCCGACGAGATCTTCGTATCATCTTAGCATAGACTGCAGCAGCTCTCACAGGTCAGACAAGAATTTAATTAAATCGATAAGGCTGTTCTCGATATCGTTGAGATTTTAAGAGATTCCGATTATACGCGCACCTTTGCTTGATCACCGAAATTATTTCAGAGGTCTTTTCGGCGGGATTCTGGTCGTCGCGGCAACGATACTCAGCTTGATTATGTTCTTCGTGTTGAAGGAGGCCAAAATGAATATAGCTATCGTGCAAGTGACCGCGCTAGACGCGACTATACTCGGTTTAGGTAGATTTCACGGTATCGTACGTATACAATCTTTATAGCCGAGCAACGTGTTCGTTAGCATAAAATTTACAGGCATGATCGCATCGATCGCCGGAACTCTGAAGTTGCAAGCCTTGCAACAAAAGATCATCAAGCCGTCAGACTTGGACACGACGTTATTGGCCGCGGCTCAAGCCGGAGTTTATCTGCACTGTCTGTTCGGTGTTGTCGGTGACATATTAACGATGGGACAGATCTGGGTGCTGTCGCTTTTTACAGACTTATTGGCCCTGATGCAAAGCACCAGCCAAACTTTGCTCATTAAAGTAAGATATTCGATCTTTCGTCGCGGGTAATCGCATTAACGGAACGAATTCTTTCAATTTCTAGATCGCGTGGGGAAGACGGTGCTCGAGGAACGACAAGCCTGGCAAAGAACTAATCACCTTTCTGATAGTCGTCAACATCGCCCTGTGGACGGTGAACACTTTAGAAAAATCCCGCGCTGGGGTTCGACCGGATCATTTGCAATTCTTCGGCGTTTGGGCGTGGACGATCATTACGCACGTTTCTATGCCGCTTGCTATATTCTATCGATTTCACTCTGCAATATGCCTGTTCGAGATATGGAAGACCTGTTACAAGTGCAGGTCCACCAGCGTTGTACAAACGCCGTATTGAAGTCAACGATTTATCCAAAACGATCGAATACCATCCCTTGTATATAATTTACGCATCGATAAATTGTACAAACGTCGAGTATCGTTTAACAAACGTATTGCGCTACGCGAAAAGCAAACTCGAACGAACCCGGCGAAATTGCGTTCCTCTTCAACCTTCCCTTTAATTACCGGGCTATTAAAAAGAGAGAAAACGAAAGGAAGGAGAAGGAGAAAGCAGGCGACCTTTCGCAAATAACAATGTTACAGGTCGTAGAAGGCAAACTTCCCGACGATGTCTGCTACCCTGCCATCGCGTGGAACTTGTAAGCTACCGGGTGACAAAGGGTGAAAGAGACGCTCCGAAGCTCGGCTGGCTGGTCGACGCGACGCGACGCGACGCTACGCGACGCGATGGCACGATTGCCGAATCGATAGAGGTGCGTACTCTTTTATCGATGTACACGGGAAAAGACACGAGGTAACGGTGATGGTGGACATCGACAGTTTGATACGGTTTACGGTAAACACATTTGGTAGCAATCACATCACAGGACCAGGCAAGCCTCGCTGCAGCGAGAAGTAGGTGATGCTTCGGTGGTTGGAGAAAGCGAGCGAACGGTGGGTGAAGAGGCTCTTAGCCAACCCTTTGTTGCTCCTGCCGCCACTATTGCTTCTCCCACTCCTATACCGAACGGAGTGGAGGCTCTACTCTTGACCAAAGGCCTCTGATTTACTTAGCCTATCGAGTGCTCTCGGACTCGTCCGCCAAGAATACCGTGTATACGGTCTGCCCGTGTACATCGTGTTCCGAAATTTCCAACTTAATGCTCCACTTACTGTCCTCCCGCCTCCCGCGAGTCGTGATTGCGAACCTCGATTGCGGTACACCGTGTAAATAAATTCTCCACGAGAATCAAAACCCGTCCATTTACGTGCTCTTTCCTTTATTTTCGGTTATCGACATTATCAAGCACCACTGATGGGTTTCGAAACGTTCTACGTTCGTGTCTGCTTTTATCGCGATTTATTAAATTACGACCACTTATTTCGTTACAATGCGTGTAATTACATTGTGTTACGTATGAAAAAAAGCAACGACAAAATGCGTAAGTAACTTTGAAGAATTTTGCAAAAGACCGCCCGAGTCTTGGACGAACCACGGAAGAAAAGAAGATGTTAGTACCGTGTCACGCTCGCCACAGGCTCTGTTACTTTTTTTGTGGATTTAACGAGGATTTACCGTTCTTACGATTCCCTACCTTGTCACCCTACCACTACCACTACAATCTGCATCGCACCCGTAGAAATCTCTCTACGTCGAGGAGAAATCTTTCATTTCCTGTGCTAGATGCGTTTTTGGAATCGTTGCTCCCAAAATTTCGTCTCGAATCGAACGTATTGGTTCGGTAACTACATACCTGTGACTAATTTTGGTCTCCTTCTTACATTCCATTTACTCGCTTCGATCCGTTATCGAATTAAAGTCGAATCGTTTTAGTGCGAATTGAACACTCGACGCGAGTATTGTTCGGAGCTCGTTTACGAAGCAAAGAAAATTAAACTGCTGATATTTATCTTACTTGTCTGAAAAAGTGACGATTTCCGATGAAACGGTGACGCGACGCTTTGGCTGACCACGGAAAAATCTCGCGATTTATCGGGTTTACCTGTCGACAGCCCTAGAGCCTCCCATGGATTCGAAAGTCCGTGATGGAAAAGGGAACAGATGGCAAGAAAACAGAGAACGCAACAGCGACGGGACCAGACAAACCTTGATATATCCGCCAAACACAAGGAGCTAGAACGCCCAGGCGGATTTATCCAAGTTGCGGATAATGGATGGTCTATACCGGCAGGGGAACTTTTTTTAAATAATATAACGTACAACTAGCGGAGAGCCTCGGTTCCGCAGCGTTTTCAAATACGCTTACAACAACCAATAACGGGAAAACGCTTTTCCCTGCCGCGAATTCAACAGCAAAATAATCTTTCGCGAAACTACACGTACTTACAACGATTGGTTTTTTCTTCTTCCTCTCGTCTACCTACGATTACTAGGACGACGAGAACGTATCGAACGTGAAATTATGAAACGCAAAAATACATTTGTCCACTGAGTGAGAAAATTTTAATATTCAATTTTAATATGACCCCGAGCAGCCCTCAAATTTATTTTTAAAGACGTGTTCTCTAATGGCACTCAAGAAGAATAGATTTAGACTTGGAGTCACTTTACTCGGTCAATGATTTATACGTCGTTTAAATATTCCTTGTTGCTCTGTTTAAATAAAATTATTCTTATCGTTATAATCACGATTTATTTATTTAATAAATGTTCGATACACCCGGTATGTCGATGCCATAGTCGATACTATTAAAAATACGAGAGGAAAGGGGAAACAATTACCAAGAAGCAAATTATAAGATCATGTCGGTGCTACACGAAGGAAAAAGAAATGACAGTGGTATTGGCAGAACAACTACCAGACAAAAACCACCATCGGAGGTCGTCGATTGGACGATCCTCGGGAATGTATTTAATTCGATTGGACTATGCCGCCATCTGGACGAGACAAGGAGGACAAGAGGCCGAGAGGGTGACTACTCGCAGCTAGGGTGAGGGAACCTCTGTTTCCGCCGGAAATGAGGCTTTCGCGACTCGTACTCCCATCCTCCATCTCTTTTACCTCCACCCAAAACCTCTTTCGTACCGCCCTTCGACCTGCCTATGACCGTTCCCCTAACCCTCTATCGCGTTCTATCTCGGGGCGAAGACGCAAATCGTATTTATATTCCATTTCTCGCAACCAGGTAAATATTTTGAGCAGCCGCCGGTCACGATGTATTGTGCGAAACTGATTCTCTGAAAATTATTCCAACTCCGCTCGAATACACAGGATTATTACACATCCACTCAATCATTGCAACCCCCACCCAACCTTTCCCAATCTCTGGCAAACAAGGATCACCTTTTTTCAATATATTGCAATTATAAATATTTACCAGCGAAGCGAAATTCAAGTTCGGGACTGAACGCGCAATTGAAAATTGTTGAAGAACATTCCGAGCGGACAGTATTATCGGCGTCGTTTGTTTATTGCGATTTATTTGGAACATGAAACCGTATGCAGAGAAATTAAAGTTTAAATAAATCCCATTTCCCTCGGAAGTATCAGACCGTGTTTACTTTTACGCAAAGAGGAGTTTAATAAAAATGGGAATGTGGATGGTACGAAGAAAAGTCAGAGGACAGAATGGCTCGCTAATGCTCCCCCCTTGCAGGTACGCGTGAATGTCGCTTGCTCGTCGAAGATGTAATTTTCGCTGTATGCCCGGATTAGAAGCCGGCTCGTCGAGCTCCGCGTTCTACCGCTTGATAAGTATTGGCCGTCGTGCCTCTTGAATACGCTGGAACTGGAAAAGAGATTCCGAGATGATTTCAGAGCGATCGATTGGCCTCGACGGTGACGTCACAGGTCGCAGCGATGTGCGACCGTAATGTCTAGTTGGTAATCCACGTACCCATAATAGCGTCGATTAATGATAAGAGCGTGAGAGTAAGACAACCGTGCAGGCCAGTGCAACGTAAAAGCTATTATTATGAGAGGCTGTCGTGTTACTACTTCGATGGAAGCAACTTCTTTCTTTCAAACGGTGATTAGAATGTTACTGTACGAGCATCAAGCGCATCAAGAATCAAATCCTAAAAATACGAGTTACCAAAACTTAACACTTTCTAGATCATGTCTCTGTTAAACGCTAAGGAAGTTCGTCGTTACTAGTGTCGCCGTCAATGCACTCAATTATGCCAAATCTGGCCACACTGGATCTAGCCATTAAGAAGCCAATATCGATTATCGATACTCGTATGTCTGTATCTGTAAAAATCGTATAACTTTCACGATTGATTTTTTTTGTCAATTTTGTTAGGTCACTGCATGTGTTATATTACGTAGTTTCGACAAAATCAACGTCTATTTGAAAAATACAAATTATTGCTAAAAAGAGTAGGTTAGGCGAAATCACCGTTCCTGGAAACGAGGACTAAACTTTTGCCGGACGGTATTTCTTAAAATCAGGTAAGCGGATTATTGGGAGATTTGGTAAAAAAAATTCGCAGAAAAATGCATCAACCTAAGATACTCTTTCTATCCTCTTCAATCTCAAATATAAAAGATTTTGTTCGATAATACGTGTATAGTTTTGGTTAATAGATTATTAGTAACTAAATAGACCTATATTAAAAGGGAGTAACATTATACAAGATTCGGTAAGAAATTGTTGTATTTCTTATAGCTTTTTTTTTTATTCAAGTACTTAAGACTATAAGTTACATTGTGGCATAATGCATAACCGACAGAATAAGAAAGTTTCGGTAACTCGTATTTTTAGGACTTACTTCTCCATCTTAAAACATCTTGCACTTGATACTCGTGCAGTAACATTCTAAACACTGAAACAAATTTTTTAGTTCTTTTATTTTCACTTTCAAAGAGCTTCTAAGACGCTCGTAGGTATATCACTGATTTTCTGCACCCATCTAACAACAAACCGTTTATTGTTGTTAGCACATAATTAAACTTGTGTTGACTTTGACATTCCTGAAGGTTCCGATGTTTGCGGTAATTGAATACATCTTGCTAATGTCCGTATCTAAATAACACACGATAAAAGAATTTGCTAGATTCTCTTGTGCTTTTTCTACAAATGCACAAACAATAGCCAAAAACTTTAATAAGCCTGCTGTGTATTGTTGTATGTTTTTACTCACTTCTGAAACTCCCACTCCCGATTGTCCAATGGACAAACTTGTCGAGTCTTCAACCAACGTGAGATGCAATGGAAATGGAATGCGTGCTATGTGAAAAAAAAAAAATGATTAAAATATTAAGATAAAAGAGTTAAAACATATTGTTATTCCAATTGATATGTACATTGCATACACCCCAAGCTACAGTACATTCCTCGCTAGTGGCAGATGCTTGATTTGCTTGACATTCTATACATAAATCCATTATATGATTTCGGCATATAGCGCAGTTGTCTACCACGATATCTGTAAAAATAATTAAGTGTGCGATTAACGATGAATATCATAAATCTACCGTAACTATATTGTAATTAGTAGGAATCCATCAAGATAACAAAATTTTTAAGCACATACCCCATGCCCAAAGTGCCACAGCGTTCCACTAAAACGAACAATAAGTCATGTGTTTAACAAAGCAATAAGGTTAGAATTCAGTAATCACACTATTAAAATGTATAATATTTATACATATTTTGTGGAACATGGTATTCGGTCGTTTTGTCTCACCTTTTTCACCTCGAAACGTTTTTTCTCTCCTTTACTGCTACTAGAAGTTGGTAAATCGCTTTCTTCATCGTCAATATCCATTGCTGACGCCATGTTTAGACTTTGATATTAGTGGGCAACTGACACCTCGTGTAAAACATTCAAAATACGGCGCACCATTCATCGAATTACAGTACTCATTTCCGTAATTATTAAACAGTTGTTACGTACGATAAAGTACTATATTATTTTAGAATTGGAAGTTTAATTTTATAATTAAGAAGTAGTTGGGCATCAAAATGTCAATAGTGAAAATGTGTATTATGTCGATGCCTCGATACTAGGTTGTATTTTCGGAAGAGAAACTAATTACATACTGGAAGGAACATGACAGTTACCTTAATTGCTTGAAAGCTGGATAAGATAACTTCGATTTTACATTGATAAACGATTTTTAATTGTATACTTTTAATCTGAAACGTACCATAAATTACACGATGAGGCGAAAAGCAGGCGTTGGCGCGATTCAAAAACAAAAACTGGAGCAAGAAAAATATAAGGATAAGGGAACAGAAATTCAAGAAAACCAGTTTGAGCAAATGACAAAACAAATGGAAACTTTTCGCGTCAATCTGGAGGAATTTGCAACGAAGCATAAAAATGAAATTAAAAAGAATGCACGATTTCGACGACAGTTTACCGAGATGTGTGCATCCATCGGCGTAGATCCTTTAGCTTCTGGAAAAGGTTTTTGGTCGGTCCTTGGCATAGGAGACTTTTACTATGAACTCGCTGTGCAGATCGTTGAAGTTTGCATGGCTACAAATTATAAAACTGGTGGCTTGATATCATTGGATGAACTTAGAACAAGATTGATTCAAGCCAGAGGTCGTAGAAAAGAACATCAAGAAATAACAAACGAAGATTTATTAGCTGCAGCTAAGAAATTACGAATCTTTGGAAGTGGATTTTCAGTTGTCTCGATTGGTAGGGGTAAATACTTGGTACAGTCTGTTCCAGGCGAACTAAGCATGGATCATACTGCTGTATTGCAACAAACTAGTTTATCCGGTAATGCATATGTTTCAAAATCTATGCTCTGCAAAGATTTACGATGGGAATTAGATCGTGCTCAAAAAGCCTTGGATCACATGGTAAAAGAAGGACTGGCATGGTTAGATGAACAAGGTGAAAATGAAATATTATATTGGTTTCCAAGTTTATTTACAGCGTGTATTGTATCCAAAGAATAAGCAGAATATTCAATGCAACATCAATAGATAGGCAATGTTTAAAAAAAAAAACAGAAAATGTATCTGTAGTGAAAAATGTATTTTTAATGTGAATAAATTTACATACTCTTATAATATGTACACAATCGGATATCCAGTGTAAAATTTGTTCAGATAAATATTGTCACCTTATTTCGTTTGCTACATTAAATCTAAAACAACACATTTAGTCGTTTTAGAATGTAGTATCATTATAAAAATACATGCAACACATACCTTTGTATGTCCTGCAATGTATGTTGCGCCATTTGCTGCTTGCAAGTTAACAATTCTGTGCTTAATTCATGATTTTCCTTTTGCAGTGTACTTAATTTACATTTAAGTTCTTTAGTTTTTCTTTGAAATTTAGCTGTCAATAATTTTGTCTCGTCTCTCCATCTAAAATAAAATTCATGATCAAAATTCGTGATTCTTCCGTCAGTAGATTCGAACGTCGTCGTTTAAACACCGCAGCGATAATCCCGTGTGTGTTTATTCTATTTCTTTCTTACAAATACAGTCGTTTCCGTTTTAGTCCGTGTTGTCAACAATGATCGATCGATAAAGCAATAGCGATATGTATCGATCTTTACATCGAGCGACGATTGTAACATGCACGAAATTATCGTCGCGGTGTTTAGGATTTCTTTTAAGTCTCCTGACGGAAGAAATCAAGTTATCTAGATATGTATGTATAACATATTCATACTTTTTACTCAATTTCTGATGAACTTGAACATGATAGATTAATTCTTTCGTTTTTTTGTCAAATTTTTCCTGTAATTTATTCATATGATCCGAAAAAACCATTTGGCAGCAATGACACTTATTTTCTACCCTGGAATAGAAATATTACGTGTAGGAAAGTTAGAAATATTATAAAGCTTCGTTCGCTTACGTTATATCCAAAGTACGCTTCTGCTTTGTATCGGGCATGTACGGATTTGTTTCGTCGGCCAAAGCATCTTGTAATTTAGATTCTTTCGTACAGTTTCTTTTCTGAAGATTAATTTCCAATTCATGAATTTTATTTTCAAGAGAATGCCTTTCATTGTCTCTTTTTTGTATTTCATAATCAAAATCGCTTTTCAGTGACTTTAATTGCAATACGAGATTTTCTTTAACGCCTAATGTTTTAGTCAATTGACTTTCTAAATCGGAATATTGCTTTGTTATGTCTTTGTTTTCACGGTCCGCTTTTTTTATTTGATCTTCTATACTGTGTTGTTCCAATTTTTGTAACTTATTGTTCGAAGTAACTAGCCCGCCTTCGAGTGTAGTAATTTTTTCTTTCAGTTGTTTAATTTCTATATCATACCTATTCTTAGCTATCGTTTCATCATACACCTGTAACTGAAGTTCTAAGCGTTTTATTTTTTGCTCGTAATCCAATATTTTTACGTCGCAGTCTTTACGTATTTTACACAATGCCTCTTCTGCAAATTTCAGTTCTCTTTGAGTTTTCTCTACCAATGCTGTCTTCTCTCGTAATTCTATTTTAAGCTCTTTAATTTCTGTTAAATATTTATTTGTACTTAATTCAATTTCTTCTTGCGTTTTTTTATTTAATTCTCGTATCTTTGCATCATATTCATTTGCTATTAGCGATAACTGATGTTCTACTCTGGCCTTTTCTTCCAAAACAAGTACTTCGCGATGAAGTACTAAATCCTTTTCCCTAACTGCAGATTCTATCAGTTCAATGGCTTCTGCCATTTTATTCTTGGTTTCCTTATCCTTTACCATTATATTGTCAGCATATCTCTTAACTTCATTCAATTTTTTTTCCAAATCCAATTTGGTTTGTACTATTTTATTAGTCTCTGCTTTAGTGTAAGCCAATTCTTTTTTCAGTGTCTCTATCATCACCTGGTTATTCCTATCTTTTAAAACATAACAATAATGTTCCCACTTTATTACAAAACATTTAAATATGTGTTACTGACCTTTATCTTGAGCATCTTTTTGCAAACTTTCAAACTTCTCCAAAAGTTCATTCTTTTCTTTACTTAAATTTTCAACTTTTTCTTTACTTGTCTGATACAGCATTTGCTGTTTAACAAAATTATTTTTGGTCTGCGATAGCTTTTCCTCCAACATTTTAATAGCTTCAGAATAACTCTCCTTAATAGCATTTGCATGTTCCTGATAAAATTGTGTACTTTTCTCATCTGTACGAAGCCTTTTTAATTCTTCTTCTAAGGCACTTACTGTATTCAATGAAATATGCCACAATTGCTGAACCGAATCTTTTTCACTTTCCAATAGTGTAATACACTCTTGTAAATTTGCTATTTCTTTCTTATACGTATCTTGGCTATTGCATTCTTCCTTACGAATTCGATTAAAAGACTCATGTATATCGTTAATTTTGGGGCTTTCATTTTGCAGAATTTCTAATTCGGTTCGTATATTATTTTGTTCTACCTAAATATTGTAAAACACAGCCCTTAGAAGTATGTATAGCATGTAGTTAATTTTATAAAAGAAATATACCTTGCATAATTCCAAGTCCCGTTTGAGATCCTCCACGATCGTTTGATGTTCCTCGAGTATTATATCTCGTTCAGTGCTGTCGATAAAAGAAAGTTTATCGAATAATTGTCGTAAATATGTCGTAAACACAAATTGTATAACCTCAAAACTAACCCTTGTTTCAGAACATTATCCTGCTCTGTATCGAGCATTTTATCGCTACAAGAATTTATACTTTGCAATATTATCTCGATCGAGAGACCATTGTAATAAATATGTGGTTCGTTTAATTTATATTTGCGACATAATTTAAACGATTCGTCATTCACGTTCTACACGTAAACATCAACAATTCTTTCATTATCAACGGGCATGTATGGACGTGGATTACTATGAATAATACAATTTCAGTATTCAGCGGTATATTTAAAGCATTACAATAAAATAAAATATTATAAATTCGTGCGTTCATCTGTAAAATTTGTTTATTCTTATAAAATATAAAAGCTACAAAAAATGACGGTACAATATCGACTGAAAATTACATATAAGGCATACGATTGAATATACGGTATTGATTGAAATTTAGATCGACACATTATTAGTGCTTATGAACCGCCATTATCGATCGAGAATTTAATCTTTAAGAAATATCGAAAGACGGATGCTTCGCACAGCAACAAGAGTAAAATGTGACATTAATCATTAAGTGATTAAATATTAGCTTGGAATCTTTATTGCATGTCGTTTACTATTGTGTTCTCTACCTAGGGTAACCTTGACCACACGGTATCAACAAAATTATTCATGATTCAGGGATTAACCGTGCCTTCGAGAGTCGAGAGAGGATCCCTTCCCCACTCCTCGCTCGATTGGCTACGTGACGACAGATGGTGCGGGGGGGCACTGCGGGGTCGTCACTCGTTCGGTGAAAGTAAACGTGTTCGGATCTGTTTAGACATGTCTGGAGTCTGGCGTGTAATGAGGTACGTACTCTTAACCTAACGATATCCAGACATTTCTAATCTCTACGATTACTCTCCGTCACTCTCTGTCGGTGCCTTTATTTAATATTAGTACATTTTGACTACATATTTAATCGATAACGTGAAAATAGTTGAATCGGTTTCGCGCCTTTTCATCGATGTCGATAATTCACCTCAATTATTATTATATCTCTCTAAATTACAATTTCTTACAGCATATTTCGAATTTAATCGTAATTTGTATTTTATTTCTGTTGTAGCCTCTAATTCCAAGTCGACTTCAAGGAAGGACGCCACGATGATTGGAAATATCGAGTCGAAGGAATTTGGCGCGGATTACATATTGGTAAAATCTAACCCTACATTAAAAGTAACGTATACATTCGGGTTTATACATATTTCGAGTTATTGTTTGTTGTAAGTACGACGTATAATTGTATAATAGGTCTGGGTTAGGATTGAAAAGGAAAAGATTTAATCGAACTTTTTCCTATTTCGATTCGTGACGCGTACGTGATTTCGATCGTGTGATTATTTAAAATGGCGTCGTTAAATTAGAACAATGTGTATTTTCCTATATTTTGATCGTGATTACATATTTCCGGATATCGAATAACTAATTAATTGTTCACAAATCTGTCTTTATAAATTATTGCATTGCATTTGTATACAGTTCTATGTGTAAGCGTAGAATAACGTAGTAAATGTGAAATTAGAATATACTAGTGAGACATTACATAGTAGGAAAGAAACTTTAATTTTGGAAAGTTTCAGAATATTTATAGAACTCGGGTAATATTTTACAATTCGGTATAATCAATCTGATCGTGCTTACAACTCTAATAACAAAAAGCTATAATAATAATTTGAATTCTATTTACGAACAATAATGTAACATTGAAATTTATATTTGTTAAAAATATTTCATTACATGATGTCTTTGCAGGTTTAAAACGATAACAGTATTTCCATCGAGAAACCAAGCAGGGAACCAAGGACGTGTTTATTTGTTATTTCTTGTATTCCTTATCACCTTTTCTTCTAGGTATTTTCAGGGCCGAGCGCAATGCGGCCAGTAAATTCAGTGTTTACGTTGTTTAGAGTTTCGTGTTTTTCTCGAAGCACAGCTGCTTCTTGTAGATTATCGTTCGGATTTTAGGGACACGCGAAAGTAGAGTCAGTGTTTATCGCGCATACGTAAATATCTTTCAGAGCATCGGGGCTCATTTTTCTTTATGACTCGCGACTAGAATCATTTGTTCGCCGCTGTTGATTTTCGGTCGCGTAAATTAACTAACATTAGTCTTTCACATATATTAGAATTTTACTTTTGAGAATTACATTCATTCGTTATCGGTATTAGAATCAGTGCATCACTGAAGGGGAGTTTTTAGCGATTCTCCGCGAGAGAAAAATGTAAGTATCGCTCAGTCTTGAATATCTTGAAATTTTTATATGAAATTAAAACTCTCTATAATTTTAACAAGAAATTATAATTGTTTTCTTCTCCTTTACAGCTTCTTAACCTCATCTCCGAATCGATGATTTGTACACAACCAGGCAGACAACTTTGTCGGTGATTCACCCTGGGCAGCAGCGTTATCCTGGACGCGTGGCACAGGTACTTATTCTTCATCGCGGTCAACGATCGGTGAGTTGCATGCGATTTTTATTCCTCCGGTCCCCATGTCGTAGGACGAAAGGTCCGAATCGACATGGGTAACTGGTTGTATACGTGCTTTATTTGGCAAGTGAATTGACCGCAGGTATTTCTATACCTGTGAGTAGTAACACATATTGTTTTATCTTACCTAGGATATATTATTTAGAATCTTCTTGCATATCGCGATTTTTAATATAAATATCATAGTATGATAAATCATTTTGAATGCGAATATTTACTATTGAAAGTATATTATAGAGTCACGCTTGTAATACGTTTTACTTATAATTACATTCATTTTAGAATTAATATCGAATATATATTTTTGAATATCGATATGATTTGATTAATATGCAAGAAGATATTTCGCGACGGATAGATTCTAGAGTCAAAGCAACATACATTATGTACTATTTTTACATTTAAAAATATGCTTTGACGACAGAATCGTCCGAGGGTTACATATTTTTATCAATTTGCTTAGATTTTCAAAGTAATTTATTTTATCTCAAAGTCATAATTAGAATCATTTCTTACATAGAATTCAATTTTCATTAGTAGAATTCTCTTACAGAAATACATTTTTTAAATACCTATTTCACGTATTAAAATGAAACAAGAAAATCTAGTCCGTTATAGATCGTTAATTAGATTCTAACCATTTTTTCTAGTCAGGATTTTCAGGTTATTTTTCCGTGTACATTGCCAAATCTCACTCAAGTGCCCAGGTGCTACTTGCGTGAGTGGAGGCAATGTGCACGATGACTTGGTTTATAATAATTACTGATCATACATGTATGCGATTGACATTGGCTAGTGTATCGTGCGCGACGTAATTCTCACATGTGTGTGTTTGTGGTTAGGATGTGGAATTGCGTCGTTTAAAAATTCATTATACTTTGCAAAGACAATTTTATTTCAATTTGTGGATATTTTTTCCATATCTTATAAAATATAAATGAGAATCAGCTTCCTTATATTGAACGATAGATTGAACAATTATATATAATAGTATATTTTATTAGCTGAAAATAACGTAATATACATATGCATATAATATAGTAAGTACGCAAAGATCACTAGCCTTTGTCAGTCGATTTCAGGGTTTGGTACGTATCTTAGAGTGTGAATGTTTGCAATGTTCGGGTGTCGGAGGAACCCCGGGGTTTCCTCCCTAGTTTAGGTCGCGCCCGAACATTTTGTATGAGAAACGTGGAGTGTGTGTTTGAGAGAATGCATTTTGGAATTTTTTAAATATAGCGTTAGGTAGGTAGGTAGCTTACTTTCTGGTGTGCGTGTGTGTTAGATGTAAGTAGGTAGGGCCAGGGCAGGACTGTCCACATTAGTTATACATCGGGTAGGCGCGTTTTCGCGTGGCAGTCCTGTACCTGTAGTTCGATTTCGAGAGTTGAAAAGTTGGCCATTCCAAACGGTTTCTATCGTTTGTTTTGGTATCATATACTTTCGATTCTTGAAGTCGCTCTTCGTGTTCGTGTTCGCGGTCGTGGCTAGGCCCCTTTCGAAACGCTCGTACCCCTCGAGATTCACCACGTAAGCTCTTCCAACAATTCGTGCATTGTTGGAAGACTACGTATTGCACAAAATCTCGAGCCCGGTCTTACGTAAGTTTCAGGCATCGGCAGGACCGCCGAAGAAAGAAAAGACTCAAGGAGTCGAAGAGGCCCTGACAAATTGTCGCAAGAATGGGCAGCAACAAATGGCTCTTCATCTTCATTTTCGGATGAAGATGGAGAGTCATTCTCTGTTACTACTTTTGTCAATGCACTTGCCAGTAGTTGTAGTATTTGTAGTTTTACAGATCCAGTGTTGGGCATGTATCGCGGTTTGCATTAGCGTTGCGAATCACGAACGATCGCGTTGCTATTATTTTAACTTCACGGTGATTAGACTTAGAGTTGCGGTCATTTTTCGCGTTTGCTTTACAGGTTAGTGTCGCAAACAAGAACTGATCACGGTTTGCTATTAGCGTTACGAGACATGAATGATACTCGCGTTGTTTGTCCAGATAATTCTGCAAATTAGTTTTGCAGTTCCATTTAGAGTTGCGTACTTTGAGAATTTTTCGCGATTTCTTTCAGAGTAGCGTCGCGAATAAGAATCGATCACGGTTTGCATTAGAGTTGCGAAATATTAATCGCGTTGCAAACAGTACGAACGAATCGCGATTATATTTCAGGCGTTTTGTGTTAGTGTTGCGATACTGACTAATCGCGTTTGTTTTGATTAGAGTTGCGACATATATAACATGTCCAAACACACACTGGAACCTGCTGCGCTGGATTAGAAAAATTAGCGTTGCGCATTGTACTATACGCGATTTTATTAGTGTTACGTAACATGCACATTGAATCGCGTTTGCTATCTGGATAGAGTTGCGATTAATACAAATATATTATAATCAATGTTAGAGTTGCGAACGATGAATACTTTTCGCGTTTTATTCCAGAGTAGTGTCGCAAATAAGAATCGATAACGGTTTGTTATTAGCGTTCCGAAATTGAAATTCGCGTTGCTTGTCTAGATATTGTTGCAAGTAAATTGCATTAGCTTCGTAGTTCCATTTAGAGTTGCGAACATTGAGAATTTTTCGCGTTTGTTTTTCCAGGGTAGAGTCACGTGCAAAGCTAATCGCGGTTTGCAGTAGCGTAGCGAGAGATTTATATTGATCGCGTTGCAAATTTTATAATATGAACTTTCTTTGATCGCGATTGCTTTTAGAGTTGCGAATGATTTTTCGCGATTGCTTTTCAGAGTAGGATCCAGGAATCACGAAACGTGATTCTCAACAATTTGGGACAACAATTGCACCATCAGTATCATTGTAGTTAGTGTTGCGTATTATTTAACATGGATGCGCCTAATTGTATTAGAGTCGCGAACAACTAAGCGCCCTTGCGTGGCTGCTATCGGGAGATTTTTTATTTTTACAAATAATGAAGCATCCCGCGATTGTTTTTGAGAATTTTTTAATTAGTAAATTAGAGTTGCGTGTAACGAAGCGCCCTACGTGGCTGCTCTCGGGAAATTTTTCAATTTATATTTATTAAAGTAGCGTTGCGATATGAAAAATGGTCCACTCACGGTTTCTCTACAATTTGTCACGAGTGGACGATAATATTTTTTGTGTTTAATCATATTTCTCATATTAGAAATTGTGGGTTTGTCGATGGAAATACTGTTAATAGCTTTTTGTTATTGGAGTTGTTACGGGATACATATAGTATATTTTTTCAACCGCAGTTGCTTTGCATTTTTTTGTAAGCATGCAGTATATATTTTTATAAATATTTTGAATTCTGTCCAAGATTAAAGTTTGCTCGCGATCTTTCTTTATAATAAAATGATAAGTAAAACGCTTGCAATAAAAAGGTATACAAATGCAATTCGATGGTTTATATTGATAGAGTCGGTATTAACGCGTGTTCGTTATTAGATTTTTCTTTATGAAAATAATTTTCATTCGAATGGAAGAAAATATAGTTATTCTAATTTAAATAACGAATCGAGCAAACTTTCAAGACATTGTCTACTGTTTATAAAGTAGTTCATTGTTTAATCTATTCTTTTTTCATCCTAACTCAGACATTAAATAATATTTTTCTTGCATTAAATCTGATTTTTATTTTACAGTGAGATAGAATAACGTATATTTTGCTCGCGTATAATTTCTATGTATATGTACTAATAATTTGATAACGCGTACAATAGGGTGGGAATTCTATTTTTCTGGTAACCCAAATTTAACGAATTTTGTTTCATATTGTCTAATTTGTGTTTCAGGAAATCATCGTGGGATAAATAGAAGAAAGAAGAATGAAGAATTATATATAATATAATAATTTGCTCCACTTTATGTTTATCTATATATTTCCATTTATTTTGGTCATGTATTTTGTTCACGTAACCTAAATTTGATGGAATTTGGTTTCATGTTTCGTACATGCAATTTTATTTCAGAGTCAACAATGTTTTTATATTTTAATGCGTTATGTTTATATTATGTATTATATTATAATGTATTTTGTTAGATTTATAGTTAGGCAGGCTGTGAATGAATACAGGCAAGAATGAAGATCATATTTTCATCTGTGTTGTGATCTGATTGAATAGGAATGAGTTGGAACACTTTGCAGTGTGTTTGATTGTGTGTGAATCTCGTTTTGGTCAGAATATTCAATTCATATTATTCGATCGTCTTTGTTTCTTGTCGTTGAGCCTTTATCCGGCAAAAACATCTGAGAACTTTGCTGCTACGTTGTTTGCTATCATCGTTGGTTGCTTTTTCGGTTTATATTTCGTTATACATATCGTTAGAAATGGAGGGTGGTTGGGATTCGGTTAGGGCGGGTCTCCATTCGCAGCAACCTCCTCGTGGTGAGACCTGGGTAATGTTATTTAGGATTTAATTAATAATTGCAATTATTAATTAAAAACTAAATAATATTAGCAAATTAGGCTGCGATTCGGTTTGTGTAGGTAATCATAATTATAGAGCTTCTTCGCTGGATTAGTTTTGATTCTCATAATTGGTACAAACACGTGGGACATGTTTTGGTGAATACACATACCCCCGAAATACGTTTAAAAAAGCATAATTTCTGGACGGTTTGAAAGACTTTAGCGTTTCAGAAAAGTACATTGAATGTAACGTTTACTCGTATACATATGTCGTCCGTGTTGCAAGATCCGAAACATATCGATTATCAATAAATGTTTTTAATAATAATTCATACAATTTTAAAGAGATGTAAAACCGTAAAAAAGTAACAAAATATACAATTTTCTTGTATCGTATATATTCGTAATAGAAAAGATATTATTAATGTTGTTATGTGAAAAATCAAATTTTTATTTCATCGAGCATCTCTATTAAATTGTTCAAAAAAGGCGGCAGTCGGTTTGTTTTTGTAAAGAGTTCTATTCAGATACTCCTGATGGGACTTGTGTTGTTCCGCGAGCTGCAAATTTTCTTCGGCTATCTTCTTCTTAACATCCCTGTAACAGAGCAATTTGGGAACAATATCGGAAAGATTCAACTTACTTATTTCAACTAAATTCCAAGCATAAAGTCTTACGCCCTCTTTCGATCAATCTCTCGCTGATGCTCGTTCGCGATATGCGCATGGAAATTCATCAGTCGGTCCCATTCTTCGTTCATTTGCTTCTCTTCTAATTTAATGTTCTAGAAAAGAAACAATTCCTTGAGCACGAAATGAATTCTTTCTCCCGTTTGCCGAGGCCTCTCACGGCCGCGACAAACGCTTGGCTCCGCTTCAACCTTTCACGGTGGGTCGTTAAAGCGTCTTCGAAACAACGTTTCACAACTTTTACCTCGATTTCTTTCATCTGACGTGCTTGCGCATCCCTGAAAATCTTAAGCTCGTCCGCGGACATGCCCTTGTAGCGCGAGGCCAACGGCTTGTGCGGTCCACGAGTGCTCTCGGCCTGCTCTTTGGCTTCCATGAGGAAGTCACCAGTCACGTGATTGTAGATTTCCGCTTTCTTGTCCTCCTCGTCTCGAAGGGCTTCGCAATGGCGGTATCGTTCCTGTTCCTCTGCCTGTTCACGACGGGAGGGGGCAAGAGGAACGATAAGAGCCCATGTGGTCGTTCGATTAAATTGGAAGGCAAAAAGTCAAGGACGGGTGCACATGAATTCAGGATGGAGAAGCAGCGCGACGATCGTTCGCCGATATTATTATCGAGACCCATAACGTCGGTGACGCGTCACCGAGTTTGCTCATCGGTCATAGCAATCTCATAGCCAAAGCAAACAGTGCTCACCTTCGAGGAAGGTTTATAGGCTCGTTGCAGCTCACGCTCGTGTAGAGTGTGTGCACTTTATTTTCATTAATCGCCGAGCAAAAAACATATCGAGAACGACGAGATCTCGGCGCTGTTAAACTCTGACATTTCACGGCTCGTTTTCGGTCGCGGGAGTTAACGAAAGAGGGCCTTAAGTAAATTAATGCGACGGAGTGTCATCGAGCGTTAATTATCCGGCTCTCGGCTTTCTCGTAGTCCGCGAACGTCGACGATCAACGAGAACAGGAACGACGATCGAATCTCCATCCGAGCGATAACACGATTCGCCTCTCTCCTTGTCTCGAGGAAAATAGAATCGCCGGATAATAAGATTCTTATCTGGTTCGCAGTTCCTGCCGCTTTGTTGTTTCTCGCTGTACCTAAGTACGAAGGACTAAATAGGAGAAAGCCTTACCAGGGCTCGATTGAATGTTGCGGTAGCCTCGTTCAACCTTCGACGGCATTCTCGCTCCATTCGATCTAACGTCATGGCACGCTTGTCCCTGGAGATGACGGCTTCCTGGTACGCTTTCTCGGCTTCCTGCCGATCTCTCTCCGCCATCGTACGTTCGTCCTTTTGCTTTTCTATCCACCATCTCATTTGCTCCTTTTTCGCCTTTGAGCGTTCCTTCGAGTCGCCTTCCTCGCCCTCGAATCTGCATAATGCCACGATTAAATACAGTATTTACATCGTCGATAGAAAGACAATATTCACTTCTGTGCAAAGCCCGATCCGAAACGCGAGGTGTCATCGTCGACTGTTACTGGACACTTTTTTAGAGTATTCGGATCGTATAGATCGTAATCTCGTCGATCCTCCGTTCGCTGGTAGTGTCGTCGAAAATTTTCAATCTCGACGTTCCTCTGTCGCCTCTCCTATAAAGATCAAAGATGGTATTATTAAATAACGCTGATTCCGTGTGGAATATTTCGAAGCGAAACATGTAATCGCGATAGTTTCCCTTATTACTAATCGCGTAATTGACAGGTTTCTACCTCTTCTTGTTGTTTTTCGAGATGCAAGGCGAGTTTACTGCTGCGAATCAAATTCTCGTCAAACTCGGATTCTTTAGCCTGTTCCAATTCGCGTTGCTGCTTCTTCTCTGCGACCTGTTTATCCAAAAATTCCTTGTCTATCTGCAAACGTTACGAGCAGAGATCGTTATGTCGGATTCCGAATACAATAAAGTCGTCGTTCTTTCGCGTATCGAATACACGTTTCAAACGCAAGAAAAAAAAACTGTGGTTGGTACTCACCCCGATTTTCCTGAATCGAGGATTGAATATACGTTGCTTTCTCTCTTCTTCTATCTGCCTTCGGCGCTGGATAGAAGCAGCGAGCTTCAGGTCTTCCTTGGTGACAGTTTGGAACTTTAACATCGTGTTAGATTTCAACCGTAACTATAAGGATTGCTGGAAACAATAGTAATCGATGCACGAGTGAGCTTAGCCAGGAAGCCACGGAGTTCGGATGGAATTCGTTACCATGGTGCGTTTGATGTCAATAGATACCATGCCGAATTGTATATTTCGAAATCCGTGTTGCAAGGCTTGTGCTCGTGCACAGGGTGTGTCGTGCAATAAAAAAAAAAAACTATCTAAAGGGAAAGGTTAAATGTCTGGTAATATCAAATTTTTTTATGGTATTGCTCAGACGTAGAAAAATAGATATTACTACGCTGTTCAACTTTTCCTTGTATAGTTTTCTTCTACATATACTTTATCAAATTCTATGTATAATTCGTCACCGTTGCGTGACGCACTCTGTGTAATTGGACTCACCGGTAACGCGATTTTTTCAGCATATCCTATTATATCCCTCGCTGTAATAATTCTATATCGTGTGCGACTTTAGAAAACTTTTTTTTTAACACGATCCACTGCACCTTATCGACAAACATATGTGAAAGTCACAGCAAGAACAACGTGTGTCTTTTTTATTGAGTCGAAGCAAACAATCGCGCGGTGCGATGGCAATCAATACTTTATCGTTGAAACTGTCGCTGTTTCCGATTCAGGTATTGCTTGCCCGATCGACTCGAATCTTTCTCAAATTTCTGATTTTTAAATTACGACGATGTCGGTCTTTGTTTAACACATGTACGACCATCGATTATTCAGCGAGTCAGGAAATTTGCACGACGGAGTCACGCGAAGAACAGCTGTTGAAAGCGTAAACATGCGTTGTACTATCTGTTGATTCGGCGAAAGTCATTATGCATGACTTGTAACTTTGCGGTCTCGTATTATCGCGGCTGGACGCGTGTACCGGTCGTGTAATTGTAGTGGCAGTACGATTGCGGAGGAAACGAGAGAATTAGAACTCTTTGGCTATTTCGTGCTCGTGTCTTTATTTGCATACGGTGAATCAGGCGGATCGTACGTATGTGTTTGTAACAATGAAAATGCAGTAACGAGAGCGCTGCGTGGGTCTGAATTGACCGACTCACACGGAAGCCGCGGAACGTGACTGTTTATAGAATATTCCGGGGTCGAGTCGTCGCGTGAATCACAAGAAGCTCGAGTAAATCGTCGCGAAAGCATCCAGAACTAACGATTCTTTACATCTTTTATTCGGATATGATGAAAGAATTGCACATTATACGCTGTCCCTGTGCATGGAATAGATTTTAAGGACGTAATCGCCTTGTTCATCGATTCGATCGATGCATTTCACATGACTCATTTCTTGGAAAATCGCGTTATTTCGATGCGCGATATTTCTGAAAAATACAAGAAGGAAAGGTGACAGCTACGAAATTTCATTGGTAAATATTTATGGAGGCCAGAATTGAATAAATTTTACTCGCGAATGACCAATATAAACATTTTTAAATACATTCGTAAACTGGCGTTTGCTCGTGGCTTTGTTCGTCCGAATACTCGTTTAAAAAAATCAAACATTTTTATTCATTGTTCCAATCACTTTATTTATTTTTACGATCGTCGCGAGGGCATAAAAAATGTAAAGATATTTTATTTTTCAGCACATGTTTATACACGCGTTGTTTTTTTTGTCAATGCGTTAAATGTGCCAAATAGTCGTAATTGTTTTCTACCTAGTGAAAAAACACACGTGTCTTGGCGTGACCTATATTCGCCGTATCGGGCCATATGGCGTCTGATCGTAAGTGCAGAACACGCAAGGCTCTACACGCCGAATGAAAATGTATCCCCATGGTGGAAAAGGGATCTATGACTATAAAAGCGGATGCGGATTACATTGCGTAAATATAAATTCGTGTTAGAGTCAATCAATTCGAATTATTCTAAACTCGAAAATCGACTAAAACGCTTGAAACGGGCTTCTCGATTAAGAAGATAATCTTCGCAAAATCAACTAATCGATCGTTGAACTTGTTCGTATGTATACCTATTCCTCCATCTCGCGCAATTCAGCGATCGTAAGTTAGGAAGAAGAATCGATAGTTTAGATGATGCATATACAATTTTAACTTCTGAAGCTTAAGCACTTTTCTCCGTTCTGTCTCGTTACGATGACATCACGACGCTAGCTGATATCGAGCTCTATATTACGTGCTTAATATAAACAACTCCCGCCAAACTATCGTATCGTCTTTTTTCACGAGCGATATCTACTTGAAACGCATTCGCAGCAATCATAATCGAATCGATGTTGAATTTATTTAAACTTATCTTGTAGTTTATAATGTATCGAAATATGTTTACAATAACAAACGAAAAATCTCAGTTGTATCGATGATTTGACTTATAAACATGCCTACAGTATTTATAAAATACTCTACTATTTTGCAGTCTGCGATTTCGTTTTCAAGATATAAGTAGTTTAAGTTTTTACACGTGAGAACGTCATGGACGCGTGTCTCTGACGTATACGCGCGTGTGTGCGCATATACGAGTATTTTTTTATCGACTTCATTGATCTCATCCTTATCGATTCCATGTTTGTCGAGGTTTGTTCGAAATCCCAGTAAAACCAATCAATTCCCCACTACTTCAACATACATATAACGATATATGTACATATACAATAAAAATAAGATTCTGCTTCGGAAGGAATCATATTTATTTTAACTAAAAGGAACAATTCTCCTTCCCGTTTCTTCCCCCATCTGGTATAACCTGTAGCGAAGCGTACTCGAAACATGTAGTTACGACGTACATAAAAGAAGAGAAGGAAACAATCGTGTAACCGAATGTTTTCTTTTTGCTGTGTTTGTTGACCATAGTAGATATACCTATTATTTCTCGGAACAATAGAAGAAGTAAACGTGAAATTTGTCGTGCGATTTAAGATGAATCGGAAAAGAATTTGGCGAAAAAGCGTGCTCCAGGTTTTCGCGGTACCGCATACAGCTAACCCAGAGAAAATGCCCCGAAGCGAAGCGAGACTCAACGGCGCCTGCGTGGCCATGTGACGTCATTGGCGAACCGGGCAGCTCGTCCGCTAGACATTCAGTCTCGCCTCAACTTCGAAGGAGGTTGTATCAGTAGCGCATGTTGCTTGACCGAGTAGTATCGCGGAAGTAGTCGTATACTTAGGAACTCTACTATTATCGCGCTATCGTTTCAAATTCATATACAACGAAACGGAATCGAAGAAGAGTGAAAACCAAGTGCGCGACAACCGTAAAACCGTTGGGTCGTCGAGATCGATTGAAAGTTTGGTACATCGAAAAAAGGTGAAAAATATTTAGAAACATCTTTAATTACTCTCTCCGTCGTTTGCGCGGAGAATTAGACGGCACGCGATACGCTCGCGTTTCGTTTTCAATAACTGTTGGAGTACGTCGGTCGAGGTACGATAATCGTCGCCGCGTCATACGGTTCTAATTAACGTCTTCGCGTTAAACACGTGCCGATCAGCAGAGTAATTAAAGCAGAGAAAAGGAAACCGAGATTGGATCATCGTCGTTTCTTTTCCGTTTGGATCCAAACGATGCTCCTGTTGTTCTCCGGTTGAACGACGCTTCTATTCTCGGTTTCGCTGTCCCTTGGAGTGCATGAAACGGTCGAGTGAGTTACCGCGAACGTCACTTCCTGCCTCCTCTTACTATGCACACCGAGAGAATCGCGACTACTATGAGAGAATGAGCTGCTCGGTGAAGATCTCGTGTGGCAAGAGTTGGAGCGGATCGCAACGAAGGATCAATTCCCTCGCGGAGGAAACGACGTGTCCAACGACTGGAAGTGCTAGTTGCGCGGGCCTGGTCGCACCGTCGGTCGCCGTAGCGTCGACGTCTGCGTCGACCACGGCCACCACGTCCACGCCGACGACGACCAACATCGTCGCCCAAAGTACGGTCAGCAGCGTCAGCCAGAGAACCGCGCCATCGCGCCCTATCAGGTCGATCGCCGCTAGAAAAGGGGAGGATACCACGAAACTGTTTAAGTACATCGAGGATAACGTCATCGGCAAGAATGGCACGTTCTTCGGACCATTCGGCCGCAGGAAAGGTCAGTGATCAATATAGTCTTTACCCCTACCGTTCCCTCCAGCCCTCTTTCGCTCTGCCCCGCCCACCCCTCGTACTCCTCCATCACACACCCCCCTTACCGACCATGGCCGACAACACGCATCGTTCGCGACACAAAGAGGTTCGTCTAGCTCGGTCCACGAAAATACATCTCGTTGAGGTTGTCAACATTGTGCGGTCGATGCAACGATGCAATATATATACATATATCGATAAAGCCGAAGGTTTCCTCTTGTTCTTGGTAGTTGTCTACGTTCCAGCTGTAGTAAGTTTGTCGGAGGTATTCCCGCGGGTTTATCCGTCCACCCTTCTCGTTGGTCTTTTTTGCGAGAAAGACGATCGGCGGCCAAACCTGCGGGCAAAACTACGGTAAACCTCCACCGTGTATGGGTCGCTGTACCGACGAACGGACAAGTTTTTCTAGAATCGGTCGCAGAAGCCTGGTTCTCTCGAGCCGTTGCTGGTCGGTCTCGCTATACTAGCCAGCAGAGGGAGACCCAGCAAGTGTACTCGACGTACACCTTTCGTAACTCGATACTTGGGAGCTGCGCGGAAACCTCTCGCGTGCATCTGTGTATTGGAATTATGTATGTATCTCGAATTAAGAGCATCAAAATGCGCACGCATTTTATTGCTCCAATTTTGCGAAAATAAACAACGACCACGACCACGACGCAACGTATAAGATACTGTTGGAAAGAGCACCGCCAGAGGTCTTCCTCTTCTATCGCCCGACGAACGTACCTGATCGCTTACGACGTTTGCATAATTGATTCGCATCGAGTTATTTTGCTTTCGAGAAACTGTGAGAGAGATGAAGAGCGGGAGTCGTCGGTAATATATGTGTTCGTCAAAGTAAACGTCGCTGTCCTGGTGCAAAAACTCGTATATCGGAGCCTATTAAATATTCAAGGGGGCACGAATGTTTGTGCCGTCGTGTTATTCAGGTGTCGTTGGCCTACGATCGTCCCGAAGGCCACCCATTTTTGACCCTCCGGATCACTTTTAGCATCGTGCGGAATCGTATTCGTAACGCGCGTTCGTTTCGCTCGATTTCTCTTTGATTTACGAACGCCGTGACTGCTCGAAAGTACGAGGCGCGCTAGCTTCGGTCGGAGGTGTCGGATCTGTTTGTCGAGGCCTCTGTTTTTTTTTCCGGGGCACTTGGTACGCACGGCGCGACGTCAAGCATCGTTTAATCGAGTTAGACGTACCTACCCAAACCGTTTACTCGGCCGACTATGTTTGCTAAAGGAGAAAAAAGAGAAGAGTCCGATATTTTGGTGTACGCATTTTCTTCATCACCGGGCACAGTGGCCCGCGCGCGCGCGATGCAAATAAATTGCCAGCGTAGCGCGTTAAAACGCTTCCTTTAGCGAGCACTTGCATTCCTCCTATACGCTCACGTTCCCGATCCGATCCGATTTCTTTCGAAAAGCGTCTCTCGGCCGCCTTCGTTCCTCGACCGAGTCGTAGCCGATCTAGGTGTGGAATAGTCGAGCAAATAATAGATAAACGACGTTTCGTAATTGCCTCGGTAATCGCCCAGGTTGTTTGAGATCGTTCTTTCTACAACGAGATACGAACACGGCGTCGAGTGTCCTTTTTTTCGCGTTTAACAATGGATTCGTTTCAAAGGATAATTAAAAGTCTGCGCGTCTAGGTGCGTCGTTTGTTCGTACGTGAGTTATTGTTTGACCTATGTAAGCACGAGATGCAGCAGCGTCGAAGAGATACGATGGTATCTTTTGTCGCGGTCGTGTACTATTCCTCGCGGTGCATCGTCGACAATCGAGACCGAACGAACGGATTTTGTCGAATATTGAAGATTCATAAACAAGAATGATACGAATGATACGATGGCGACGGTAATATGATTCACCTCTCGGATGCGAACAAGAGAACGATAGCACCGAACGCGCGAACGCGTGAACGCGATAAGACGGCACTTTTACTACGCGAATAGCGTTATCGTAGTGGACCCAGTCAAGGACTCGTGCGAAGAACACCTCAAAAGAGAACGAAATCGAAAGTCTGTCGTTACTCCGACATCATCGATGCCGTCATCGCTCGGATATAGTCCACGTGGATAGCTTCATCAAGTGCAAGGTCAACCGCTCAAGTATATCCGTACATCCGTCCTTGATTTAACTTGACAGATTTTTCGTATCCCTCCCCGCTTCCGTGGCACGTCTTCGGAATTAACGATTAACACGTTTATTTCGAGCAACGAAAATACCTTGTCGCTTCCTACTTAACGTCAATTTCCTGTAAACAAGAAGCTTTTGTTTTAGAGGAACAGTACCTGCAATCCATTCGTGTTTCGAATTGCTATCGATAAACGACGAAAGAATGCTTAGAAAGGTTAGCAAGCAATACTTGGATAACCGAGATAATTTTATTTCGTATAATTAAAACGGACTTATCTCCATTGCTGTTTACGTTCGAACGTAACAGTTGTGAAAACAAATATCGGCTGACCGAACTTGAAACAAGAAAAGTGAAAATTTTCCGATCGAAATAGAAGCAAATACGTAAAGACAGAAATTGAATAGATAATAATATGAGTTCTGGCAAGACCTGTTTGTTTGCGCACGCAAAACGAACTTCTGTTTACGCGATAAGATAATCGGCCAAGCAAATTCCGATGTCGGCTATTTCGCGTCAACGCCTAGTTCACTTTCTCCGACGCGCAATAAATATTTTCAAAACGAACGGAGGCCGATTACTGCGGCGTAGGTCGCAAACGATCGCCGCGACCCAGTTCGTTACACGGTACCGACACCTCGTCGACCCAATTTCAGTTTGCCCGACATAATAGTGGAACAACGCCCACAAATCTACCGTATTGAAAATAACGATGTTGCGCGCGCATTATTCGGGCAATCTTCGGTCGCTTTGATCCCGAAGAATTACTCACCAATGGGAACATTATGGGAAACCGGTCCAAATGTCGTTGCGATTAAATAGTTTCGCGCGAAACGCAATAAAAATGAATGGCGTAACGACAAGTGTACTTGTGTCGGGAAACAAGTAACGGCAATCGATATAATATTACTCAAGCGGGCACGTTTCTGTTCATTCGCGAATAGCCAATTGAAATTCCAAATAGATCGTCTCGAAGCTCCTGCGAATATCAATACCACCGTGTAATTACGCGACGGTGGCAAGCAATGTCGATAGACAAAAGGTATGGCCGAATAAGGTGGTCAAAAACGACCATAATAAATGAAATTCGACTTGGGACGGATGAAGCTTTATTCGGCTATACTCTTTGCCTCCGACTTTTTTCCATCGGTGAATCTTGGCTTGTTCGGTAGAACGTCGATAGATGCAAGACCTCGTTTCTTGCATCGTATTAACAAGAGGAAGGAGTGGTCGCTTAGCAACGAGCAAAGTTTAACGTGGAAGTCTTGCGATCGTGACAAGAGTAGATTGACGGTAGAAGACCGACGATTACACGACAAGTCGAGCACGAGCCGCGGACAGTGGGGTTCATCTTATCGAATGGGTTACTTTGTTCGTTGCATGAATTTCAATATTTATCTGCTATTTTCGAGGCGATCGCTCTGCCTCGATTTATAAAATCTTTGTTATTCGTTTTACATTCAATTCTGTAAATGTTTTTGAGTAGACACATTCATGTACTTTTCAATATTTTCTTATGTCGTATGTGTCGTCGATTACGAAAGTTATTTTGATCCATGTGTGATGCAGCAAATTGCCAAGTTTTCGCATTACACGATGACTACTTAGTTGTCACGAAATTAATCGTGCAAAGCTGAAAGTCCAATACGCGGCGTGTTGTGAAAACTCGCGTAAACGAACGTCAAAGTTGAATAAATTTTATTCACCACTAACGAATACAAATGTTAATTTCGTTCGTAAATTTCCATTCGCGTTTCATTCGTAAATAAGAATTCATTAATGGATCGCTTGAAACAGAAGGTAATTTACGAATGGATCTAATATTTATACTGGCTATGGGAAAACGTGCTTTCCCCTATACACACTGATGTAGAATTCGCTTAAATGTCGGTTCGCTCCTAAGGGAAATGAAGATCGCGCGATCCCCGGTTATCAAATCGTTATCGTGTTTTTTTCTCGTTTCTCTTTTGCAAAAAGCCGTCCAGTCCGACCTCGATCCACGAATTGGAACTTTAGATAAATAGCTCGCGACGTAGAATTTGAAGGAATTTCACCGACGCGTGTTTCGCGAGTAGTATAACTGTGGTTCGTTTTTAAACGCCGGAGAACGAATCAAGTTACGTTACGATTCGAATTTGCGTGGCATGCTAAATCGTCCCTCGGCAAAGAACTCGAACTAGCGGTCCCTATCATTGTTTGTGTAGTCTACACGCACGTTGTTCTCACGATCTTAAGGGCAGCAGCTTGTCGGGTGTCGTATCTTTGCAACGACTACTGTTACGGCCAGGCACTACGCCGCGCCGCCATAAAATTCTCCTGATATTTTCACTCGCTAATATTCGTGCCTCCGACTCGCGGACTCGACACTCGATACAAATTGGACATTTACGTGGAAGCAGTCGTGCGATTCTCGTATCGCATACTTGGTTCGCACCGTAGTTAAATAAGACACGCGAGATAACAATTACGTTTGTTTGTACCAAACTATCGCAACGCGATCTCAGGTCCCATTACAGCGGATGTCTGATATTAAATATCCGTCGCTACTGAAAATAGATATGAAGTCACTCGGTCGGACTGGCGGCCGGAGAGAGATCCGGCACAACTTATCGAAAAGACACTTCCGAAACCGGTATTATTTGTTGCCGACACGAACGATCTAAACATTCTATCGAAGAATGCCGATCGACGGTAGATAGAGATCGATGATTACCTCCTTGTAAAACCTCTCGAAGAACGTTTCGACGGATACCGGTAATTTGTTTTCAATCATCCTGGCTCCGTCTCGATCGAATCTATGATTTATCGAAAATCGTTCACCCAGCCCGGCTG